TACATATTTATCATATACTTATAATATGCACTGCTGTAATGAAAGTTATGCATTAGTGTATTTTGGAGAACAAAATGGCATGTTATGCAAGCCACAACAGACTGCATTCAAATGAAACAACCAATTAATAACATCAAGATATCCCTTTGATATACAGAACTGCTGCTATGCACTTCCCACTATTAACAGTTCTGTAATAAAAAATGTTTACTGCCATTTGTTTATGTTAGAAAATATGTTTTTAACTTTTTATCTGAAATTAAACAGTTTTATCTTAAATTAAAATTCTTAGTAAATTTACTGTACTGTGTATTTTCGGTCAGTTCAGGTTAATTAAAACACACTTCTAATCTAAATGCAGCAGATATAAAGACAAATTGCAAACCAAATGTAAACTAAAGGTTTCTTTATCAATAAACACACCTCCCTATTTTGCAGAGTCTTTCCTCAACTGTAATTCTAGAGCACAACCGACTACCAGAGAATGTTAAAGTCACATACAAATCAAAATGTAGTGATGGTTCAGTAGCAAGTGGGGACAGAGGAATTTGTAACAATGTGAAAATTAATGATGAGGTAAGAAAACATTTCCTCTTAAATGTGAAATGGGGTACGTGTAAAAAATAATAATTGGGTTTAGACTGTTTTCTTATCCAGATATGTATATTATAAAGTAAAGTGAATACAGTGTACAGTACAGTATATATAATATGTACAGTGTTACTGTATACATTATATACTAGAACACTGACCAACTGAGCAGGGGCACTCAGTAGTGCTTACCATCCATCCAGATATACATATTATTATGACAACTAAGTGTTAAGTGGTCCCAATATATCTGCTGACATCTGTGAACATCTGGTTGAATCAGTGTGTGGCTGCTAGAGATGGTCCAACTTAATCCTAGGGTATAATTAGTGTATTCATACTTTCTTGCATTATCTTCACATACCTTTGTTAACTTTAGTTTGTTAAGTGCCTACAGTACTAAGACTCAACTTTTGTCTGTTACTTTGCTCGGGAACTCCGAATCCTAATCCTGGAGGGCAAATGCAAGTTGGACTTGTAAAAATTTTAGTAAGCTCATGGTTGACTTACTGTAATTGAATGAGTTTAGCAGTTTCTTCCAGTTGCTCAGATTCCAAGGCTTTAAAGAGATAAAGAAAACCTGCAGATACGCCTGCCCTCCAGGACAAGGACTAGAGATAAATGACTTCGCTGTTTCTACAGAGAGCATTACCCATTCTAGAAGCTTGCTATCCCCTAAGACACAAAGAACGTTACAAATCTCTCTTGCATCACATCATGTACATCGGTGCAGCAACTCCACACTACCGAGGAGGGGTCTTGTTACATTCATCTGATGAGGCTGCCAATTCCATCAGCCAGGCAAACAACTCTGCATGTCTTGTCTCTCTCCCACGTTTATTAAGCTTTAACCAAAGTGCTGAGGCATTTTTTCCTTCCAACACATCATTTCAGTTTACTGTTCTTCACTGTAATATTTGCATAAGAAAGAGTTTTTGACCTCGACCTCTGTTTTTGGCACAGATTATTTTTGAGGTGACAGTAACAGCAGAGAAATGCATAGAGCCCCAGTCCTTTGAGATCAGACCTCTGGGGTTCACAGAGACACTGACTGTGAAAATAGAAACACGCTGTAAGTGCGAATGTGATGAAGCCTTGGAAACTAACAGTCCATACTGCAGTGGGAGTGGATATATTAAATGCGGAATATGCGGGTAATTTTTTTTCTTGAATTTCATAAATCCAAAATGTAAAAGATTATTCAGCTTTACTTATTTACAGAATGTTAAATCTTTTTATATTTATGTTATATGTTTTATATTTTATCTTAATATATTATTATTATTATTATTATTATATTATTTTATGCTTTATGAAAAATCTAATAAAAAACTAAAGATTAATTATTTAACTCTCAATGAAAAACACATTATTTTACATGAAAATAATGAGGCCATGTCATAATTCTGTCAGTAATTTTGACTGAAACTTTTTTCCATGTTACTAGTATGTAATCACACAGGTAACTACAGTAGAACCTATGGAGTTTGTCATTCTAGCCAACATACTGCTATAAATATAGAGTATAGTGTTGCAGATGGGGTGGCCCATCTGAGCTGTCACAGCAGCAGAATTTGACCATTGCCCACTCAATTTTACATGATGGACATCTGCTACCCTCGTCTACATAAGAGACAGGTTTCTATTTATACTGCACACCCCTGACTTAATCAGACCCAGTAGCCTTGTGCTTCTCTGTGTTGATACACATTTAATGCAGCATCATTGACAGGCAATGACAACAACAAAACATACATAAAACAACAGAACATTATTTTCTGTGATGACCTACATTTTCTTTGTGGTTGGGGTCAATGAAGATAAGAGAAAAGAGATGGTAAAGAGGTTAGAAATTGATAGCATGATTGTTCCATTAAACGCTTGAATCATTCAGAGATACATTGATTTCATTTAAAATATATTTATATTTTATTTAAACTTTACCTTAGCTGTGATTCAATGATCATTTTTTTGTCTCACAATAATGTTTTCCTTTCATATTTCAGTCAGCCTGATTCTGGACTTTCCACTGCATTAAGACATTGCATTAGTAAAGTCAAATGATTGGGCCATCATTTGAAGCAGGGGGCACTTTAGGGGATCCATGCATCTTTTTTTTTTTTCCTCTTCATCCAATTCAATCATGGTTTGGGAGAGCCGGAGTCTAGCCCGGCAAGCAACAGGCACAGTCCATTGCAGGGCAACCACAGACACATACTGTACACGTTCACATTCACACCAGGGCCAATTTTCCCAGAAGCCAATCAATGTACAATACCAGTACTGTATGTCTTTCTTCAGTGGGAAGAAACTGGAGCACCAAGATAAAATTCAAACAAACAAGTGGAGAGCATACAAACTCCACACAGATATCTCCCCAGGAAATAAACAGGGCAACACCACCAACCTGATTTCCCTAAATGTGCAGTGTGTTGATCATTTGTGTCACACCTGTTAGTCTCACTGAGAGGCTGAAAACCTTCACAAAATGTTTTTCCCTACTGTCATATATATAGTTTCTTGAATATTAACTTCCATTTCTGCCTGTTGACAAGACAATATCACCACTGCTGACTGTGCAGTCCCAGTGATTTTGGAAACGCAGTGGCCAATGCTGTATTTTGCTCCCAAAATGGCGGTCCTTTCTACTGATCCAATCTCTTTTCTTTTTCCTAAAGATGCAATCAAGGTTTTAACGGCCAGAGGTGTGAGTGCAAAATCGGAGACAAGTCCGAGAGAGACCTGACCCAGGCTTGTCAGCGAGACAACGGCACCATCTGCTCGGGGTTCGGAGACTGCGTGTGCGGCATCTGCAACTGCCACGCGAGCGAAGATGGCCGAAAGATCTACGGGAAGTACTGCGAGTGCGACGACAGGAGCTGCGAGCTGCACGACGGCAAGATTTGCGGAGGTCAGGAAAACCATGTGAATTCGGGGCAGTTCAAAGAGTGTGCGATGCATTTGAATAATCATGCCATCCCCTGTCGGCAGGTCACGGAAAATGTGACTGCGGAAAGTGCATCTGCGACCCTAACTATGAAAGCAGCGCGTGCCAGTGCTTGAAATCTACTGAGAACTGCAAGAACTCCCGGGGGAATGTGTGCAGTGGCAGAGGCCGCTGTGAGTGCAACGTGTGCCAGTGCCAGGCAGGATACAAGACTCCCTATTGCGAAGAGTGCGCGGCCTGCCCGTCACCCTGCCCGAAATATGCGTAAGAACATCATAATATAAAACCTTGTACGATGGCACAAAGGCGCAGTGATTAACATTGCTGCCTCACAGCCTTTAGGCCCCTCTAGGTGATTTTTGCCTGGAGTTTTTATCTTCTCCCCGTGTTCACATGGGTTTCCTCCCACAGTCCAAAGACATACTGTCATGGTAGGTTAATTGGCTTCTGGGAAAATTGGCCCTGTTGTGAGTGTGGCATATCTGTGTTTACCCTGCGATGGACTGGGGTCCTGCCCAGGGCAAACCCCACCTTAGGCTTTTTGCTTGCTGAGGTAGCATGCTCTGGCTCCCCCGTGACCATGAATTCAATAAAACAGGTTGTTTCGGGACTGCAAAATGGTTTCTATTCTGACTATGAACCACTACAGAGTTAATTCCCAGCATTCAATGAACCATTTCCTAAACATAATCAATATGTAAATATAATACCATAAGTTAATTTATCAGAAAATGCACACACTTGAGGAGTACAACTTTCTCAGAAAAAAATATTTACTTACAGTTTCTATTTATTTAAGTATATCTTAAAAAACTGGGTAATATTTGTTGGGGATCCTGAAGTTATTAGGGATCCAAGAAAAGAAAGAAAACTTAAAGTAGTTTCTGGAGTTTGAAGCTGTGGCATGAAATCCATGCTTTAAGCAATCTAGTCTAGTTTTTGTAGTGACATTGCTATATGATTGTGCTAAACCATTATTATAAAATCCATGTCTCAACTTATTTATTTTTTTAGGACATACAATGTGGTAAAATGTCCCTTTTATAGGTCAGAAGTATTCATCATCATTCAGTTCATGTGCTAAATTGTACGGTATCATAATGACTGACAGTATCTTTTTCTGAAAAATAAAAATCATAGTGATTTCTGAATGCTTGCACTATGGCAAGAGACCTTTGGGATATCTTTTATTTCACAATTCCAGTGTCATGACAGTTGCTTGCCAACAGTTGCTTGGTGACAGTTGCTTGCCGACAATTGCTTGATGACAGTTCTTTGTAATAACATCAGCTTGCCAGCTATTTCCTCAACCAGGTGAATTAAATCCAATTGAAAGAGTTAAAGTATAGATAACACCATCTTTTTAAACTCAGCATCACAGAGAGCTAATCTGAACGAGCTGATGAATAACCAAATAGTCCACACTTTGAATATCTTTTCTTTTAATGCTTACACTCAACATGGAAATTAAAATGGGACCATCACATACTTTTTGAAAAACCTGTCGATAAACAATTTTTACAAAAATAATGTGAAACACATCTAAGATGTTCCCTTGATATATTTATGACACATTTGGTAGTCTACAAATTCAAGTAAATACCTGAAACATTCACTTGAATTTCACAAAATCACCTGAAGCTTTCATTTAACCAAGAGCAGATTTCCACCTGCTGTAGATTTGGAATACACAAAAACATTTCAGAAACATGAAAGTATATAGAATTCTTAGATATCTTCCTCACACCTTCCACTACAAGCCTGCCAAACCTCTTTCATCTTTATTAGTCTCACCCAAAGGCTTGCAGAAACTCAGTTGCTTTTCTTCAACTTTTTACCATGACGATTAAGATTTTCTAAACAAAGGTCAAGAAAGGGTGGACAGCTTTGAAAACGTTTTCCACATGAAACAATTGTCACAGGTAAATTGAGAGCACCACCCATGGACAGAATGCTTTACCCATCCATTTGGTGGACTGGAGCCTATCCTGGCAAGCAAGCGGCGAACCGCAGGATACACTCTGGCCAAGATGCCAATTCTAAGCAGGGCACACACAGACACCCTATCAGTATGTCTCTGGGCTGTGGGAGGAGACGGAGGCACCAGGAGGAAACACACACAAGTACAAGGAGAACATACAAACACCACAAAGATAGCAACCCAGGAATCAAACTCAGGGCTCCAGCCATGCAACACCAAATATGGATATTTTATCTACAAATACTTATTGTCACCAAAGCTTTCCTAGAACTGTTTTGGGGAATATTGGTCACATGTGACTTTTTAATATAAACTTTGAAGGTGTCAATGTAGAGTATAGAATATTTACCTTTTACTTTTATGCTTTCAGACCTTGTATTGAATGTCTGGGGTTCAACACTGGCCCATTCAGTAAGAATTGCAGTGAGTCATGTAGGAATATCATCAAACATCAGATAAAGGAGGATGTGGGAACTAAGAAGGTTTGCAAAGAAAAAGACACCGAAAACTGCTGGATGATCTTCATAATGAAGGAACTTGATGGCCAGAATATGTATGAAGCCTTGATCAAAAAGGAAAGAGGTGAGATATTTGATATTGTAAAAACTGTTATATGAGATACAGTATGTGTTTCATTCTGTTCACAGGAAAAAGTTGCCAAAAACTGAAGAAACCAATATTATCATTAGCAAAGAACCCAGCTCTAACTAAATGTGTTCACTGTGTATTCATTTAGTACTGCCAAAACCAAAGGAACATTAATGAAGACAGACAAAAATGTTCAAAATAGAAATAATATTTATTTGTTTTTAATATACTTTGTTCTTTAGTATTTCTATTAAGAAATATTATTTGATCAAATGATCCAAAATTCTTGTGTAGTATATGTGTTGGAACCCTGGATCCAAAACATCTGCACAGGCCAGATATACTGTGTGTGAAAGTCTAAAAGGTTACTAGATGAAAAACCTTTCTCCTGACACAAGGCATCCCTCTTGAGAACTCAGTGTAGAGATATCACCTTAACAGGCTCATTATACACTTTAAAGTGTGTGTTATGCTTGGGAGAGCATGAGCTTGCAGTCTTTAGTCTCTTAGTCCATAATGTCCAGGATATTTAAACCCTGCTCTGCCACTGATCTAGTGCTCTGCCTTTGAGAGACCTTCTGACAACAGTAGTGCACTTTGCAACACTAGTCTGTGTCTCAAAAGCGTACTCTACCTCAATCCTTCCTGAAAGACTCTCTGTCTGTCCTGGACTTGTTCTGCCAGTCTTCAGCCACCTACTGACACAAGCACCGGACCAGTGGCACAGTTCCCTGCCTATAATCCTATGTTGTAGCTCAGCCACCATGTCCACACCTATCCTGTTAGTTGCGCTCACCTCCTTGTCTTATGTGATCCTGATCTCCATCCTGCTTCCAGAATCTCCTCCTGTCTTCGTCGTGCTTTGCCAGTCTCAATGCGCTGACCTACTTCAGCTATCTTCACCTGCCTTATCTCCTCCTAGAGTCCTGCTTTTGGGTTCTCCAATCTGTCAGAAAGACAATGCTTTTGGGTTCTCTGAACTGTCAGAAGAAGTTCCATGTCATGTGCTAAATATAAAAGCTTTGAAATTAGAAAAGAGTTTTTTGTGTGTGGAATGAAAGGTAGCTGAGGCTTAAAATTATAAAATGAAGGTCACTATGTACACTCACAGAAAGTACATTATAGGCAGTCAAAGTGTGAATGTCTGTTATCTCCAGTCACTGGTGAATCAGACGTACAGTAGGCAGCAGTAAAGGTAATGAAGCTATAGTATACACAAATTACAAAGGGAAATATTGGTCAAAAGAACTTCAGAACGTTGCATATAAAGGGCCTTTGTCAATCCTCTCATGTTTCAGAATGTCCTGAGCCACCCAACATTGCTGCCATTGTGGGGGGTACGGTAGCTGGAGTAGCCCTCATTGGCTTTGCACTGCTGCTCATCTGGAAACTGATAACATCTTGGATGGACCTGAAGGAATATCAAAAATTTGAAAAAGAAAAGCAGAAGCAGAAATGGAGTAATGTAAGTAATTTTACTTACTAACTGTTGTGATTCATATATTTATGTTTTCAGAGTTTGTCTAACGCATTCACTGGAGTTGTAATTCAGTACATTGACCTGAAGGGAAAATGCACTTGAAAACAGTAGTTATACCACATTTTTTGGGCATAATTTCAAACTACACAATTTCAGTCAAACTACACAGGCTCTTCAGGAGAAACGAATCAAATAATGGCTACCTAAAGCAGTAAATTAAAGTAGTAAAGTAGTAAAGTGCTTTATGCAAATAAAGCACACAAAATACATGACTTTCATATAGCAACTGAACTGTATTTTTTCACTTCTTTCATGGACAATGTCTGTAATGTTGAAAATATGTTTTACAGCAGAATGTCACAAGATGGTGGCCTTGATTCTGACCACAAAATCCACAAAATGTCTTGTCCGAAGTCTTTGAAGGCTTCTCAAGGCAGTTCAACCAAAACTCTCTATCGGATACCATTATTCCGTTGTGGAGTGCAGTTCTCTACAGAATGCAACCCTGATACTTTGTATCCCATTTTTGATGGCCTGTGCCCCATCTATATACACTCTAATGTGTTATCAGTAGCTCACAAATGGTTAGCCAAAAATTTTCTATTTCAATATATACAGTGAAAAAAATATAGGCATACCTGTGCATTTGTTGGTGTCCTGGGTGATAGCTCTTAAGACAGACATCTGGTTTGTCTTCACCACTTGCTTTGAAGTTCATTTGACCTGGCCTGAGCTCAGTTTCTGCTTTTCTTACTTTAGTACAATTGTTTTTGTTACTGTGGTACAATTTCCCCACCAGTGGGCACTGTGAATCATACTCTCCACAGTTTTACGGACATTCATATACTGTAGTTATATCCCTGCTCATCCTGATGTACAAGGGCAACCAGCCATAATGAAATGTTAGAACACTATTAGTTCTGACCTATATATCATATGAGTAACATGGATATACAACAGCTGTTTCAGATTGTTCTATACCTTTTGTTCTTTTCACAAATTTTTGAAATAACACGTCTTACACTATTATCAAAGAAAGGCAGCCTATTCTGATTCATTTAGTAACGTTGTATGATTTTTGAGAATGAATCAGGGTACGTTGTGCTTTAGTTTTGTTTGTGACATTTCTTGCAATGTGTCATATTTTGCAGGATATATTTTGATCTTTTATTTAAAGTTTGAACAGAATGCCAGTAATGATATTTTTCATTAATCCCGTCTTGTTTTATTCTCTTAACAGGCTGATAATCCACTTTTCAAGGGTGCCACCACAACTGTAATGAACCCCAATTTCTCTGGTGAATGAACATTTACATAATGTTATTACAAAAAGAAACTACATAATTAATTACAAAATAATGGTTCTTTTTTATTCTTTAAACTATTTGAAGCTTAAATAATATACAGTAATATACTGTTGTATTTGCAGTGCTACCACTGAATGATAAATTCGTAAGATTTTAATTTGGGCCAATTAAAAATTTACATCTAGCACATAGCAGCTGTAAGATGGTGCATCAGTTTAACACCATTATAGTCTAATACAATATAATGTTTAAAAAATAAAGATCAGAATTATACTTATTTATGTATAAATAACATTTTCACAAATTTCTTTTGGTTATTCCAAGTTAAATGTTTGCTTTCTTATTATAAACATACAAAGCATCATTGCACTGTAATTGGGTTTTATGCTTGCATACTATTTTGGAATATAATATTATATTGTTTAATCTCTGAATTACGTGGAGTGTTTTAGCATTTTTTCTCATATGAATGCTACCTTATGTTATGCCTGTACAGATTCTGAAAATGCATCATGCATGCATAGCATCAGTCCAGAGTGCACCATACATTTTGAATTATCCTCTAGTCTACGAGTACCAGTGCATGCATCACCAGTCTGATCTCCATTCCTGATAAATTGATAGCAGTATGCAAAACAAATAATCAAAGCACACGTCCTATGAATGTAATTCTTAGTTTCACAACTCTAGTCTCCTGAGGGTTCTGGATTTTACCTAACCAACCTCCTGATTGCTGAGGTATATTGAAACTTTAATTGAACTATTTTCTTTATGTGCTATGGTAACTATAAACTTTTAATATTTTTCTAATTCATTATAAATACACATTGTACAAAAACCACCATAATAATTAAGCATCCACACTTCTGTAGGGATCCAACTCCTATAAATCCTGACATATACAGCATACAGAAAGTGTACATTTTAAAGAAGTGAAATTTGGAATTGGGTGGAACAGAAGCTAGAAAAGCAGGACTGAAAAGCTACTCTATATTTCCGATGAATTGTGGCACAGAAGTGGCCCACTGCCTTCTGTTTCCAGCTTTGTTTCACCTAGTATTTGCATTTGTCTAGCAACAGCACAAAAATGAGGGGGCCTCGTTTTATTTAGAATTAATTCTATTAAAGTTTAGGATTAGTACTTAATGAAAAGAACATGAAAATGTTACAAACAAGCTGATTGGTTGCTCGTGGCTTTCTAGAATCTCTCCCAGCCAATGAAGGATTTCAGAATATCAATTTGTACTAAAGAGGGCAGGGTAGATTGTTTCAGATTCTTGTACCCATTTGCGTTATGAGCATTGGAATTGAAAAACTGTCAGTATATAGACATTTCCAGAATAACTTGCATTTTCTAAATCATTTAAGGGCATGAGCTTAATGTTGATTCTTGGTGTTTGTTGAATAATTCTGCAGTGTAAATGTAGGCCACTACTTAGATTTTGAGAGAGCAACGGTATTTCAATTTAAAGTTTTTTTTTGTAAAATGCTATAAGGTTGTGTCCACACTGAAATAAATTTTGTAAAATGCTATAAAGTTGTGTTCACACTGAAATAAATTACATATGAAAATGTATAGTGTCTTTTCTATATTTAACAACATACATCTATCTTTCCATTTTGTAATAATGCTTTATTTAATAGGCAACAGGCACAAGGTGGGAAACATCCACAGACACAGAGACACACATGTACTCATACCAGGGCCAGTTTTTCCAGAAGCTAATTAACCTACCATTATGTCTTTGGAAATCTTCAACCAGTGCTGTCATTTTCTCAGCCAGGCCGGTTAAAACCAAAGTATTAAGTAAGTTTTCCCTTTACATTAGGCTGCATGTTTTGTCGTTACTGGGATTTGTCAAAAATTCTGAAAGTCTTTGTGGAGTGACAGGGAGATTGACTCATGGACATTTTATCCCTTCTAAATCATTGAACTCTGTAGCTCTTTCATAGTTCATGGCCTCTCGGTGACATCTTTCACCAGTTTCCTGCTTTTCAAGTTGTCAGTTTGGAGGGACAGCCCACTATAGGCCATGTCTTGGTGGTGCAGTATGGCTTCCATGTTTTAAAGATTGACTTCACTGCACACACAGGGACATTCAGTGTCTGTGAAATTTGTATGCCCTTCTCCTGAACTTTGCTCCTTCAAGGTTGAATCTTTGCTTGAAATTCACTGACTAAGGGAACTTTCAGGAACAGGCATGTTTATTCTGAAATCATGTGAACTACAATTATTGCATACAGGCAAAAGTTTCAACCAGTTTTGTGTTTTATCAAAGCAATTTTGTGCTCCTGAACTAATTCAGGTTTGTCGTTGAAAAGCTCATGAATACTTACGCACTTAACATATTTTAGCTTTTGAATTTTCTTTGTGGCTCATGTTATTTAATGTCTTTGTTTGATAAAGAACCTATTTGCTAAGCTAGAGTTAACTTTTCTAAAATCATGATGACTATCTCCTTATGTCATTATTTCCAAATTTATGATCCTATAGTTTAGTATTAACTATTGTTTCTATAGCCTCACAAACAATAGAGGATTTACCGGTTTATAATTATCTGGTTCAGTTTAGTCACACATTTTAAGGATGGTCATTATAGTATGTTAGCAATTTTGCCATCTATGAGTACTACCTCTGTTTTGTAAATGTCCAATTCATAACATCTCAAATTTTCTTAAATAGAATTGATAGAGTATGAACAAGCCCTAAATATTTGTGTAAGTGCTTCTACTTCCTCTGTAGCATTTATGCATCTTCTATGTTAACGATATTTAATACTGAACTTTATCCTTCCTCAGCCTTAGGCATGTTGCCGATTTCTTTATTGGTGCCCCATTCCTACCTTGGATTAATAATGTTTCAGTGTTTTTGTTGATTGTACCCCATGAGATATTGTGTTTTTCTTATGGTAAGTTATGAAAATTAGCCTATAATTTCTAAAATAGATTTTTGAGCTTTGTATTTGAAAAAAGATGAATAAAAAGAGGATTTCAAAGAATACTGCTTTCATTAGGGCTGCTGTATTTTTTGTTAGCTGAAATGGTTTAAGACATCATGCATTTTCATTCAGGGTTTTATATGGGTTTTTAAACTATAGAAATCATTTAAAGAAACACATAAAACCTTGAATGAAATCTTGATTTTAGGTAAGGAAAACATAGGTATTACAGAATATACATTGTGACTGCCTGAAGAGAAACTTCCAAGCTTCATAAAATGTAAAAGTATCGAAAGTATTGAGTGGACTGGGTCTACAGTGTGTAGGAGTGCATGTCTTGGATTGTGCTAGCTTCCACGTTTTCCACAAAAGAAGCTGAATAAACAATATGGTGACTGAATGCCATTCTTGTTATGTAATAGCAGAGTCTCTGCTTTCTGTGGTTCTGTGGCTCAGAGCGTATAGGAACAGGCAGCAGAGCGAGTATAATCTGTCTCTAGGCTGCACTGCAAGTCGCTCTAGTTAATGTGTGCAGAGAATGTGTGGAAGCACTGTGGGGGCTGAAGTTCATTCAGAGAAACAAGGAGAGCTTGGTGTCCAAGTTTGAAGGTTACAGGTAACTCCTTCAGGATCCGGTAAGGTGAAATCCTCAGAATTAAACAGTTGTTTCTTGTGAGTTATTTTACCTTTATTTCTTTATGTTAGGTCTGCTTTATACAAATAGTGCCTGCTACAGGTTTCATTTCCTCATCAACAAAGACGAACACTATTGTTCCTATTGTTGTTGCATTTAAGCGTCTTCATTGACAATAGTAGAAATTCAATTTTGTTACAAATTTAGAAATTAGGGAAGGAATTGTCCTCCATTCATGTAAAGTTGTTTATGCTTGCCTCGCTTTTGTTGTTTTTTTCCTTTGGGTCCTGCATTTGATTTCGGGGACACAGAGTTAATTAAAGCCAACAGCAATTTGCTAACAGTTTGTTTGTGCATTGCAGGAATTAAAAGAGCAGTGAATTCTACTTGTTTTCAAATGTTAACAGCAGCAATTAATACTTTTTAAGTGTTTTAAAGTACAGTAACGATTCTATAGATTTATGGGACTGGCTACAGTATATCTACAGCAGATTATGTTATAGAAGTGGATGCAAAAAGTATTGGGGTCTTTCCTTAAAGAATTGTACTCCTGTGAGAAAGCCTGATAGGTGGTGTGCAGTGGCCCAAACTAACATCACTGTGGAAGTACTTATTCTACGCATGTCTCAAACATTTCATTCAAGTTGATAATGTAAGTTTGTGACATGAAAGCAGAACAAATCTATAGGCAATAGTGCATGAACAGTAGCATTTGCCATGACCGTTGGCCACCAATCCCCAAAACCCAAAAAAAAACAGGGATGTAATTTAATGTGTCATGAACTACATGGTGCTTTTGTTATAAAACTACAGTATGTATGTTAGATATATCTTTTTCAGAATGACCCTCCTAAGCAACACTCTGATACATGTAACTAGCACTGAAAAAAATATAATGACTCATATTTGATGTAAAATATACTTTGAGAGCTCAACTCCTGCAAATCAGAAATAGTGAGAAATGTGAATTGTGTTCCTTTATTTTAAAGTGCTATACCCATAATTAATTATTTTGTGATATTTGTAGGATCCCAAGGATCCTAATATAATATAGTGATTATATTGTATATTGATAATAGTGAGGAAAGGAATTGTATGTTTACAGGTAGGGCAAGCTTGTTTTCATTGAATGGCTTTTTTTTCTTATATTTGAAATTGCTCCTGTCCTGAAACCAAAAAGACTTGCAACCTCATACTTTGCGCTTGTGTGTGCGTTCGGTAAACTTAATTCTGTGTCAAAATGTTGGGTTCTTTGTCCTGCAAAAAGATGGTCTGAGCTGCATGTTTGAAGAAATTTGAATAATCTTCTTATGAACCACAGCAGCAATTGAATTGAAAACTGAAAAATGTAATCAATAGCCAAAGTTTTTTTTTTCAAATTTCTTTATTTTTTCAAAATAATCTTTATTTTTGCAGTAGATTATAAACAGTTGGCAGAAATGTGGCCCATCACACAAATTGCTCTTATTTTAAAATCCAAACATTGTAGAACTAAAAATTATAGTACCAATTGGTTAGTATTACACCATTATATTATTTTAATAGTAGTACACATGGAATGGACCTATGTAAAAATAGGTTCCTATAAGCCAAGCTCTGACTTTCTGGCCACAAGTTCTTTCCATTTTTAGTAAATATGTGGTTAATATAATTAACTCCTGATATTTAAAAACTGTTTGGCTGAAACCAGTCATGGTCAGTTTCATTGTATGAGCATACCATTAAAATAACAGTCAGGCAATAAGACTGCTAAATTGCCAACCTGCACCTTCTTTAACAAATCACCCATAATGGCTACATGGACATACAGTTTTCATTGTATTCAGCATACTGGACTACTTGGACATAATACATTGCATACACTATGGACACATAGCATATTGAGTTTTGTCTGTTTATTTTATTCCATTTCTATTGCACCATTATGTATTATTATGTAACCTTCTTTTGTAACTTTAATTTTGTGACCCCCCGGTGAGCTCATAGAAAAGACATTTCATTGCCAGCAAATACTGCTGCATGCTCTATTGTGTGCATTTGATAAATAAACTTTGATTTGATTTGAATATTAAACCTGATTTTTCCTGCATACACTGAGATGACCACTGAAATCTGAGGACAAATCAATTGCCTCTGCTTAGAGAACTACTGTACCAATTGAATCTATCACATTTCACAACCAACCAAAATGTCTTCTATTTTGCACCTCAGAAGCTGCTGTGATAATTTCCCCTGAGGTGAATTGCTCCTGTTGTAGAACTGTTTGACCAGTTAACATGATTGATGGATTTGATTAGTATCATTCAGTTATCATTTGATGGATTTCTGCATAAATCACACCTTACAGTTATTGATTTCACCAAACTCAAATTACTATTGTCATGGGAACTGCTACAGTTAGTTATTTACTGTACCACTCTTCTAGTTATTTTGATTTTTTGTAAGTGTGCCTGGTTAAGGATTGGATTAATTAAAAAAAAAAACTATAAGTATGTGCAATGACGCAAAGAGTAGATGAAGAAAACCATGTCTGGCTGACAGACTGAAGAACCCAATGAAGGCTGAGAATCAGACAAGATGGGAAATGTACAGTAAAGAAAAGGACAGAAAGCAGAGGTTGACAGAGATTAGCGAAACAAGACAGAAAGCTGTAGCAGACAGGACTGGTCAGTGAGAATAGGTCAACAACTATCAAGGTGGATCTAAGCAGGGCAGCTGCACCACTGCGCGGGGCTACAGGCTGGTAGCGTCGGTGCTGGGCGGGAAAAAACAGGGTGCGCTCAGCCAGAGTGGGTTCAAGGCAGAGGGAGAATCTATTGGTCAGGATTCAGTTCAGAAGGTATCTCAATGACTGAGCACCTGATCAAATATCCTGAGCTTGATGG